CTTGAGCGATGGAGTGCTGGTGAGCTGCGTCTGTTTTCCAGGAGAAGCTTTGGCGTTCTTCGCTCTCTCCGTATGTGCAGCCTGCGCACACCTGATTTTTATCATCGGTGAACTCTGGCAACTCGGTTTCCGCAGCCAACGCCTGCAGCCAGGTTCTGCCTGGGGGAGTTGAGGGTCGCACGTGAGAGCCCGTCCCGTGTGCTGCACAGCACCACTGCATCCCCCCGCTGTTCTTATTTCAGCTTTCTTGGGAGGGAGAAGGAAAAAAATGTTATCAATTTTGATTTTGGCTTGATTTGGATATTGAGCCAGCGCAGGCTTGGCAAACAGGCTGAGGAGCAGGATGGAGGAGTCCTGTTCTAAGTAGGTGCAAAGTGCTGAGACCTTCCCCTGGTGTTTTTGTGGATGAAAAGCCGGACACGAGCCGGCAACGGGTGCTGGCAGCCCAGAAAGCCAAGCGTCCCTTGGGCTGCGTCGCCAGCAGTGGTGCACGCAGGGCAAGGGAGGGGATGCTCCCCCTCAGCTCCACTCTGGTGAGAGCCCCAGGGCCCTGCATCCAGCCCTGGGGTCCCCAGTGCAGGAAAGAGGTGGTCCTGCTGGAGTGGGGTCAGAAGAGGCCACGGGAACGATCCCAGGGCGATAGGGGAAGGGGCGATGGGTTTGAACTGAGAGAGGGGAGATTCCGGCCAGATGGAAGGAAGAAATGTGTTGGGCTGCCCAGAGAGGTGGTGGATGCCCCATCCCTGGGGCCGTCCCAGGTCAGGTTGGCCAGGGCTGGGAGCACAGGAGAGGTCCCTGCCCGTGGCGGGGGGTGGCACTGGATGAGCTCTGAGGCTCCCTCCCAACCCAACCCCTTCTACGAGTCTGTATTGTCTTGGTGCTTCAGATGAACGACTGCACCTTGCTGAGGAGCCAGGTATTTGCAGTTGAAGCGTGTTGGCAGGAGTTGGTGGTAATTCCTCTGCAAAGCTGCAGCCTGCAACAGCAGGAGCTGCATTCACGGGCCAGGAGATAGATGCCAGTGTCCCAACTGGTTGAGTACGTCTTTGCATGTGGACGTACGGGACGTTTCACTGCTTCAGCAGGGCGGTGGTGGGCGCACCGGGGTGCCTGTTGCCAGCGTTCTCTCTTCTCATTCTCCCTGTTCATCGAGGAACCGGGATCGTGATTTAGCAAAACCAGGATTGTTTGTCTTCGTTGATGCGTTATTTTGGGGTCTTTTTTGTGTTGGCGGCGGCTTTTGGATAATGAGGGGGGGCGTTTCTGGGGGGCTCCTGTCTCAATGGGGGCTGGATGGGGGATTTGAAGGCAGGGGATCTCAATGCTTTAAGCCCCTTCTGGGTGCTGTCAGTATAGTAAATATTATACAGATTAATGCCTTCAGAGGCACTTTCTTCTCTGTCACACCCTGGCTTGCAGAGCATCAGAAATGGTGAACAGACCTGGAGTGTCAGAGGTGGGAAGGAGAAAACCACCTGGATTATTTTTCTTTAATGACGATACATGTGGCTTAAATCTGCCCGGTCCCTTCTGCAGCTGGTTCAGCCTCCCATAAAATCTGAAGAATTGCACGCGGTGAGGCAGAGACACGATTATTGTGTTTTATCTGCGCCCTTGGGAACATTCGGGTACAAGCAGCACCCTTTGTAGGTGCCCGGGGTTTACTCGTGTCCTGCTCCAAGCACGTCATTGGGGTGTTGCACCTCTGAAAAATGCAATTCTCCCAAAAAGCCTTGTGGGTGAGACAACACGGGTGATACTCAGCCACTTGGCAAATGGGTTTAAGCTCTTGAGGGGTTAAATGCTGGAGGAATAACCATGGGTAAGTTACTATGCAGGTTGTCTTCTCCCCGAAGAGCTGGCAGGCGAGCGTCGGGTGCTGCGGAGGGCTGCGTGCTCAGCTGAGTTGCTTGAATATTGTACAAGACATGGGGAATCTGGTTAGGTCCCAGCATCGGATACGGATGCTCAATCACTAACTATGACTGAAAAGAAATCAGTCCAAAAAAGAGGTAGAAAAATTCTGCTACGAGTTTTGAAATAAGTGAGTGCAGAAAGTCTCTAGCAAGAGAAATAAGGCTGGGGGTGTTTTAAGTTTCCGAACCAGCTGATAAGGGGTCACTAAGCTGGAGCTTACTTAGGAATGTGCTCCACATCTTCTCACCTCCGCCCGCCTCCTGCGCCATCAGCGTAGCCCTTCTTCCAGTAGTTTTGTTGTAATTAGGCTCTTCCCTTGACAAAAGTAAATAAAACAACCCTGACATATTCAGCAATTCTTTGCAGATGGCCCTGTTTTCCCCTGTCTGGTTTTGACGCTGGCTTTGCTTTTTTCCCCTCGATGGAATGTAAATAAAACAGCCTGGATGTATCTGGATGCTTGTGCGAAATAATCACCAGCAGCCGTAACGACAGCCCGCGTTTTGGAAAATCCTCAACCAAAATCCGATGGTTTATTACTCTGGGTGTGCCCGAGATGTGGCCAAGGATGCAAGAGGAGCAAGAAGAGTTGTTGGGCTCGAGGCTTGGTTGCCTTCAGTCTCTCTGGTCCGAGACTTTGGGATGCTGTTGCTCAAAGTGCATCCAGAGGCTTGGTTTTGGTGCCTGCGGGGTCCGTGCGAGCGGCCCTGATGCTGATGGGGGAAGGGACCTTCAGCTGAAGCCTGACACGTTTGATTTTTGACGTGCCGGAGAGCCTTCTATCCAAACACTTGGTCATGGCAGTATTTGTTGACAGTTGAAACTCCCTTTGGGGAATGGCGGCTGCCAGTTGACCCGGGGTACCTGCTTCGTTGCGAGGACGTGTTTATTCCCAAGCGGTTTCGTGTATAGACGTGCCCTAACGGATAATTGGAAGATAGGCACCTTGGGTAGAGCACGGCAGAAGCCAGATAAAATGCCGTGGGAGGGCAATGGGCCGCTCAAGAGCTGTTGAAGACTCATCCAAAAGCAGCTCTTGCTCTTGGCCAGCTAAATATAAAACTCCTCGGATGCGGCTTGGTTTGCCTGGACCGGCTCGCGTTGGCTTTGTGTCCATAGGATGCTCTGGACCTTCTCTGCCATCCACGCTGCTGGGACAGACCACAAACTCAGCCCTAGCTAGAAACACCCCCTGCCACCGGCGACCTGAGAAACCTCCTCCTCTGCTCCGGAGAGGAAGCAGCGGCTGGAAAACCCCTGGTTTGGGTCGCACACCCAGTGTCCGTGGGGCACTGGAAGGAGATTCACGAGAACAGGGTATCTGTTGATCAGCAGATACCACATTCGATGGCCCACAAAGAGGTTATTGAGGGCTCTGAAATAATGAACCCACAAATACCGTGCAGAGCCCCGTCCCGGCGCTTTTGGGCTCAGCTGAGAGCTTTCACAGCTTTGATTTCTTATTTTAGGTTTTTTTTTTCTGGTTTGGAGCCACGCTGCTGGGGGCATTTCTCCAGCTGAAGAGCGACTTGCAAACTCCATGATGGATGGGGTTTGCAGTGGATGTGCAATGGCTGGAGAAGGGGACCAGCTACGCAGCACTAGAGCTTCGAAATGCCCACGGCAGTGGCTGTAACATTCGGGAGATGAAGCTGCCCAAAAGCAAACCCCCCCTGTGAGCCAGCATCCCGCTCCGAGCATCCCCTCCAGACCCACCGCCCTCAGAGCGGCCGAGCCTGGGAGCTGGGATTCAGCTCCGTGCTGCTTCCTGGGTGTTCAAAGAGAAAAGTTTTGGCTAAGATAATCTCTGCATCTCCTCCCCCTCCACAGCCTCAGACGAAAGACCTTCCAGTGAGTCCGAGAGCGATAAGCCTGTCCGCCTCGGAGGCAGCGCGCCCGACACCTTTATAACCCCACTGCTCGTGCTGCTTCACACCGGGCTGGTTAGCATTTTTCCAAGGCTCTCCAAACACCATTACGTTAAATTGTTGATAGCAAAGGGCTTTTATTGGTGTCTCCTTACTCTGAATGATGCCACCACGAGCGGTGCGGTGCTTGGATACTGCTGGATTATAGCATTGATTAGGTTTTTGGGGTTTTTTTTTTAGTTTTTTTCCCAGTGATGGGCTGTTGTCATTGCTGCTCCTTTCGTTTACTGATTTCTAGGTCACGATTCAATTGGATCTTTTGACTCTACACAGGGTATTTATTCAGATTTTCCTTTATGGAATGACCTTTTCAAATAGATTTGTATTGAGACAGGCTCGGAGTATTTACATTTCTGTTAACTGGGGGACTTAGCCCGTTCCCATCACCAGCACCGTGGTGATCTTCCTGAGTAAGTATGAACGATACCAGGCCCCCATTCCCTCTCATCTCAGCACCTGGCTACGGCTGTATCTCCCTATTTAGTTCCTATATGGCTCGTTATTAACACCCGACCGGTTGTCTCGCAAGATAGGGTTTGCATCATGTTGCCTACCTTGCGCTGAAAACACCCCCACCTTTCCCCCTGCTGAAGAAAACGGGGTTTGAATGAGTCTTTTCCCTCCTGCGAGCGGACGATGCTTCTGTCCGAACGCCGGCACCCCGCTGGTGCTCGTCGGCTCTGCGGGCACGGGGAGCCGTGCCGAGCTCCGGTTTGCATCCATGGCGGCGGAGAGGAGGGGGGTTTGTCCCGCTCCCAGATTTGCTGCCGATGTCGTGGTGTTGTGGCTCAGTCTTTTCTTTCTTTTATCCTTTCTGTTACGCAGTGACCAGGACAGGGGACGATTAACCCCTTCGCCAGATATAATTGTCCTCTCCGATAATGAGGCATCCAGTCCCCGTTCCAGCTCTCGTATGGAGGAAAGACTTAAAGCAGCAAATCTTGAAATGTTTAAGGTAAGGGGTTTCCCGGCTGTCCCAGGCGGCTGCTCCGGTGGGGCACCGTTCTGCTGCAGGGGATTTCTGCTTTTCTGGAGGATTTGGGAGCTAAGGGGCTTTCTGAGCCATGCGGTAACTTCTGGGCCCAACGATCCAGCTCTTACATCCTTGTTTACCTGTGGTACAAATTCTCGCATGTATTAAAGCTTCCTCACTCTCTCGCCACCAAGGCACAGCAGCTGTTTGAGTTTTCACTGATTTTTCTGCCTCTCTCTAGGGTAAAAGCATAGAGGAGCGACAGCAGCTGATCAAGCAGCTTCGGGATGAGCTACGGCTGGAGGAGGCCAGGCTTGTGTTGCTGAAGAAACTGAGGCAAAGTCAGCTGCAAAAGGAGAATGTGGTACAGAAGGTGAAGCTCTGGGGCTGGGTGGGATAAGGAGAAGGTGCTTGGCCTCACAGAAGCCTGTTAGCGGGCGGACACAAAGACTTGCTCTGCTCTTGGACCTTCCTTTTTATTCCACGTTTGTCCTCCTGTGTGATATTTCTTACCAAAGTGTGTCCGTAGCAAATCCGCAGCCCGTCCTACCTAGCATACTGCTCTCGGGGCCAGCTGAGAAGATAAATCCATGCAGCTCTGAAGTATCAGTATTCCGTGTAGCATGGATGAGGCTTGCTCCGCGGCGAGTCTGTCGATGGATTTCCTTTCCAAGCACCAGGCGCTGATGCCAGTTCTCATTTTCTTTCAATCTAGACTCCAGTTGTCCAGAATGCAGCGTCTATTGTCCAGCCATCTCCTGCTCACGTGGGACAGCAGGGACTGTCCAAGCTTCCCTCCAGGCCTGGAGCTCAGGGGGTTGAGCCTCAGAACTTAAGGACATTACAGGTGAGCCTTCCTGACACCCGTTTTCTGTGCAAAAGACTGTAATTTTGCTTGGTGCATGCACAGCGCTGCACGTTTGTCTCTGCTTGACTGAGATGCTTTTTCCAAGAGGCAGATAAATGCTGGCAGTTCTCGGCACCATGAGTAGGACACTCTGGTGTCCCACAGTTGGTCTGGGAGGTTCCCTCTGCAGGCGAGGTCACCTCTGAAGCTGATCAGCGGAGACTGAGCCATCCCCATAACACTTGGTGCCTGTCCCAGCTCTCGGCCCCTTGCATGATGTGCGTGGGGAGGTCTGGGTGCTCTGCTGCTTCGGAAGTGGCAGATTGTTCAGCAGGGAGGTCTGGAGGTTAGTCCAGCCAACGATTCAGCTCGCGTGTGGTGGAAGGAACTGAATTTAGATGTGGTGGCCCTGAAGAAGGTTGCCTGCTGCTTGGTAATGCAGGTTCTGGGGCTGCAGGGAGAAAACCGCTCATTTGCTCGTACCCAAAGGAATGGCCGGTCAGCAGAGCTGCTTTTTGAAACAGGGCAGGGTGGCCAGAGGAAGAAGGTGAAGAAAAATGCAAACAAAACAGGGAATTAAAATGTTTACCTTCTTTGGGAAAGCGCTATAGGCAGAGCAGGGTGCCGTCTGACACGGCTGCCTTTCTGCCTGCGCGCTGGAAGAATGCTAATTCTAGATGACACAGTTGTTTAATGTTGCACGGGTAAACAAGAAGCCAACGGTATGAGCTCACTGGAAGGAGGGCACTCGGCGCGTGGAGCGGGGTGTTGACGCTGACGGGCGAGGGGGATTTCTCTCCTGGGGCTTGGGGTCCCCTGCCACCTTGGGGCACGCTCGTACCCCTCCCCAAGCATTCCTTTTCCCCGAGCTCTGTAGCATCAGGAAATGGACTTTTGTCCTTTCAGCAGGCGGCTGTCCGTTGTATTTCTTTGATAACATATTGGGATATACAAAGTCCCAGCGACGCAGTTGTGAACCCAGACGCTGGGAAGATGGTGTGTGGGACGAGGATGGAGGTGATCCTCCAGCGTCTCTGCCTGCCCGTAGCTTTCTCTCTTGCTTTTGCCAAAAGAGGTCTCATTTCAATCTCGCTGATCATTTACTCCCTCCATTAACCATCATCTTTGTTTGTGGCATTTGTTTTCTTCGCTATGGCAACGATTCCGGGTCAAGTCTATTGTGGCTTCGCAGTGGGATCGGGCTGGTGAAGGAAATGGGCTTTAGGAGAAGAGGAAATGCATTGTTTGCACAGTCTTTGTGAAGTTTTTCTTATGTGTGACAGCGAAGAGCCTCATCTGGAGCAAGCCAGAACACAAAAAAAAAGAAAGGGGGAAGGGGAAGACGGAGGTTGTCAGACGGGAGGTGTTGAATGTTTTAAGATCATCTCTGATAAAAAAAAGTGAGCCCTTCTACCTCTCATCCCCCCCTTGGAGCCGCTCTGGCGGCGCTCAGAGACGCGAAGACCTTGCTGTGAGCTGAGTGTTAGGAGAAGCCTTGGGTAGGTTAAGCCCTGGCTCAGCCTGAGCTCAGGTCTTTCCAATCCCGGTGTCATGTTTCTGGCTTCCCGGGATTGAGGTTTGTAACACGCCTCTGCATTCCTGCACCAACGGCAAACACCCATCTCCCTGTTAGTCAGGACTCTTATAACTGTTTGGCTTTGAACTCCAGCACCGGTGTGAATTCTGGGTTTCATAGCTCCGTGCAGCTGGCAAACAGCCGCCTCTTTTTTTCTTTCTTTTTTTTTTTTTTTTTTTTAAATGCCCTCTTTTCCCCTTGCATTTTTCCACATCAATCAAATCGACTGGGTTGGTTTTTAATGCAAAGATAGGCCGTGAGTGTCTGTCTTGAAAATTACCTTCCAAAACATCCCAGCCTAGATCCTGGAGGTCCGTCCTCTTCCCAGGGAGCTGGCTGGCTCCTGGGAAGCAGTTGCTCCACGAGATTCCTACCCCTTTTCTTGACTCGGGTGCAATTCCAGCCTCTCTGCAAAAAATAGGAGTATGTTGACGTGAGACATCCTCCCTCCAGGCAAAACGGCCGTGATTATTGAAAATAAAGGACAATTAGAGGAAAAGTTAAGTTTTTTGAGCGGTGCCTTGCGTTAGAAGTCAACTGGAATTACAGAAGTGCTCTGCTGTTGCAAGAGCCTGATCAGGGAACTAAAAATTCTGGTTTGCCTCAAATCCTTCTTTTTTTAAATTCATTTCTTGTTTCCTTTCTCGACAGGGTCACAGTGTCATTAGGTCTGCCACAAATACGACCCTGCCCCATATGCTTATGTCGCAGCGTGTGATTGCTCCGAACCCTGCCCAGTTACAAGGGCAGCGGGTTCCTCCTAAACCTGGCCTCATCCGCACTACAACTCCAAGCATGAATCCAGCCATCAACTACCAACCGGTAGGTTACTCACTCGCCGCTGGGGCTTGGGCACCGTTGCTTGGTGGGGTTAGCAAGAAGGGAAAATAGGAGGTGCCTTGCCAGTCTGCTGAGCGCCACGGAGGTGCTCAGAGCTCCGCACGAAGACGCTGGAGCGAAGCTTGCAAGTGGAAATACATCCCAAGCGTGGACGAAGAGGGATGTCCTCGGCCTGCGTGGAAGAATGAAATGATAACTTAAAAACTTCCTGTTTGGAGCTGGCAGCTACCAAAGCGCTGGTTCATCCGAGCGGCGCTGGCCTCCTGCCGTATCAGCGACGCAAAGACCTCAGTGAAGCGGGGTGACTGGTTTGTGAGCGGCACTGGTTCCTCTTCCCGCAGTCGGTAGCGAGTATTCGCTTGCCGGTGCTTTGCTTCCGCTTCTCTCTGCCG